TTATAGGTTGTTTGTTTATGCACTAATGATATCAGAAATTTGTAGTCTAGGCTTTGCAAAGAGAAATTTAAAGACTATAAATTCTGTGATTTAATCAGATTTGTCTAGTGTGACCAGTTGACTTGAAGTGAATCATAGAAACACTTCTTTACAAAGATTATGTAACATTTATTCAAATCGTCCTACAGTTCGCTGATCTATGGGAAATAATAAAGTAGTGAAATATCAGTGTGATAGTCTTTACTTATATGGAATAAACATTGCACAGAGAGATCTTTTCATACCACTCTTTTTAGCTTGTGAAACATTTGTGTTACTGGCTGTACAGTTACACAAGTCCACTTTTGCACTTGAAAAGATACGAAGCTTTTTTTCAAGATATTTCGAAATTCAAACTCATCTATTTTGCTTTTAATAATTGACATGTACAAGCAACTTTTGCTCTTTAAACATCAAAATTTCTTTATCTAGACATATAAGTGCAGTTAACCTCCAATTTTGAAATGCTGTTGTTGAGGCAAGAGAAAATATCTCGGTAAAAAATTACTATCAGAGCATGTTCAGGCGTCAATCTAGAGGGTGTGAATTAATTAAGGTAACATGGGATTCACAGTTTTCTTATCATACCTGTTCTTCAAGTTATTTCAAAAGTATAAATAAAAACTCACTCATTAATGATCTCATCAAAGTTTAGTTTTCACCTACAAGATGATTTTAATACTTCGTTAAGCCCTTTGTTATCATTACTACTAATATCATTGCTAGTAATTAGCGGTAAAATATTTTAATGGTCCTAATACTATTGCTGTGATTATTGTTTGACCCTATTGTCTCTTCCCTCTGTTTTTTGATAGCTTTTACCTGGGCTGTAATCCTCTGAATTTTTTTTCTTACTCAGACTAAGTTTTCTGTTTCAAAAATGACTTATTTTCTCGTGCTCATCAATGAATCTTTATTTTAGGTGGACTTTGTAAACTGGAAAGAAGTTATATGAACAGTAAACAATTCATCTAGCGCCTGAAGCTATTATTCTTAACATGCAAGTTGCTTACCAATGCTGGTAGAAATAGTTCTGACTGCAGATGCTCAAGTAATAGTTTAAATGACCAATCCATCTGTGAATTCTATTTCCTTTGTGTAAGTGGTAACTACTAACAGTTAACACTTTTATAAAGGCGGGTAGTTTGCGCACACACTGGTAATTTATCTCACCACAAGAAATTTACAACTTTAGCTTATAGGTTTCATAGTCATCTGTATACCTTTCTCATGCTTTTTCTTTTCTATCACCTGCATACACCTTTGTTTGTATTTCAAGATACCGTTATCTACTTCACTCAGTTTATACTATGCTAGAGCATCGAGTGGCATACTCTTGTAGTGAATAACCCATAAAATTCAGGGTATCTTCGTTTTCAAATGTAAGTTATGAATAAAAATGAGGCTAGATCATCCGTCATTAGTTGTTGTTTTACCTAGAATATAACGAAAAAGCAATTAAACTTAATAAGGTTAATTGAAAATATTTATTTTGTTTTCCTCAATAATTCAGATAAGATAAAGTCATCAGCCAAAAAATATTCCCTGAGCACGAATTTATCCATTATTTATCTAAATATTGTCAGTTTTATGTACTGTCATATTACACACTGTACTGCTTTTTCATTCATTGACTGAAATATCCACATAAATCACATGGATAGCTTAGAATATCCCCCAACCTTAATGAATGTTAAAATAATATTGTACTGTCAGTGACATCTTTATTCTCATGTGATAATAAAATGTTGTTGTAATATTAGCAAATGACTTGTTATATGCTTCGTTTTCCTATTTTTTAAACACCTGTCATCAGTCATAAGCGTATCGCTTATCAGTTAACATGAATTTACATGTCATTCATATGTATATCTGCACTTTCTATCAGTGAACTAATCTGATTTTCTCCCAAAGTATTTTATTGGCTTTAAAGCAACAACTTATCATTAGGTTTGTTTTTTTCAGTGTACCCTATACAGCAATTTTTTTTCGATTATTTCCCTTTTTTTATGGAGATTTGAGACAAAAACTCAAACGGTTTTATAGCTAACATGTTAAAAATAACAAAATAATGCATGATGGATAGTGACTAGAAGTGGGATACAGGATGCATGTTTTTGCAATTTAGGGTTCGTCAACTTGATGTACCTGCTCCTACTGAGTGTTAATCCTAATAATACCCCAACCCTAAGGCGGTGACTTCAAAAGTTAATCAATTTGTCCCAGTAAACGACGGAGACATGAAAGTTATCATACCAAGCAAAAAATATATAAGGCTGAAAGAAAACTTTTATCTCTTTTCTACCTTAAAATAAACTTGGTATGAAGGCCGTTTACCTGACTTTGTCTTGATTTCTTTCCGTAAATATATGAATCAATTCAGAGTTTGTGCATTCTCCGGAAAAGAAACCTAAATGGTAACAGTATGCATAAAGCTCAGTTTGATAGCATGATCAGCGTCTGAAATCGAAAGATGAAAGCTAAGTCTTCAGAAGCTATCTGTGTGGATTAGTGAAGCATTTTTCAGCAAGATATTCGGATACCTATGAAGCAAGGTTGACAGTGAGTAAAAACCAGACCATTATTTATATATTCTGTGTATGTGGTGTAACTACTGCAGTATAGTCTTTATCTTATTTTTGGTATTTCCCTGATGAACTTAAAAACAGAAAAGACAGTAGTATAGGCAGAATAACAAAGGTCTGTTTTATTATTTTGTTCATTTCTTTGAAGATGCATACAGCCTGCAGTATAAATATTTAAATACTTGTAATTGTAGTTTAACACACTTCAACTGAAGTTGGAACTTGGGTCAGTAACTTGAACAGAGGGAAATCAACGGTGTAGTGGAAACGTTGATAACGACTAATAACAATGAACCTCTGTATCAAAAATTGACAGAGGGTGGGCCAAACCACTATATATCTTAGATTATAAGCTTATATGAGTACGTATGTAGATAAATGATCGAAATAAAGAATTCTAAAATATAGTGCACATAACTCAAGCTGTTGGTAATAAGATAACGGGTCTTAAATCAGCAGACGTAACAAAATAGAAATTAAATTTATTGTACAGATGTAATCAAAGTATTAAGTAGCTAAATAAAAGTAAATGTTGGGAAGAGGTTTACTGAAACTTCGAAAAATTAGTGCTGACTACCATTTAGTTGCATAAATCAGGCTTCATGCATTTGATTTCCATAGACTCAATGAATTTGAAAAGACAAAACAGTTTGGCGATTCGTGTTATGAGCAGCTGCAAAGAAACTGATAAATTAATAAAATGAATCTCTCTTATTCTGTACAAACTTTTGTTCTTCCCCTTTCTAAGTTCTTAAGTGGGAATATGCATATAAAACCTTCTTAATGAAGTGGATTCACGGTGTAGGTGATAATTTCTGTAGTGCTATTAATTCCTACATGATCTAGTAATCAAGAAGTAATATTCAAATCTTAGGTATACTTATGACTCCGGAGTAATGTGTCGGGATCAGTGTTGAATTCAACTCGTTTTGACTGACTACCCTGCAAGATCAGTATCATAAAATATGTTTCTCTTTCGAATTTTTCGTTTCTTCCAGCAGTACGTTAGTATTACACCATATCCTTCGAAAATATCAAATGAATTGAAAATATGTTAAATTTTGGGCTCAATATTAAGGTGGTTCACAAAATATCATAAGTACATTTATGATTGCAACAAATACTTAAGTTATACTTTGATGAAGAATATTCTGTGCTGATTCATAATACTACTTCCCAAATTATCTGTCTCCTGTGATGGACTACTTAAACTATTTGCATACTATGAATTAGTAGGTAGAAAAACACACAACTTTCAAAAATAATGAATCAAGTGTCGATTTTCTGGTCAGCTGTTCATCTCCTATTGCTTACCTCTCTCATTTAAAGCGCTTAGCTTATCTTAATTGTCACAGTAATATTGGGCTTAAGTTCACCGATACATTTCAAATTCAGTGGTGCATCTTTTCCTCATAGTCATTAAGACAGATTGAGTTTATATCTTATATTCCCTCCAACTGTATATAACGTAAACCATTCGACGTGATTAGATGAGTCCGTGTAAAATATGAAACTAGTTTCTCTTCATAAATTAGACACAATTGTTCATTTTCAGGATATTTCATATATCTTTGATAACCCACTGCATGTGATAATCATTTTTCACCCAATAAAAGCGTTTTTGTATAGGAAATAAACCAGTTTGAACCATTTCGGAGACTTGAAAGATACCATTTGTTCTGTACACAGATAAGTAAACATCGAGGCCGCATAAATAATATTACAACTCAGTTATCTGAAAGTTTTCTATATATTTCTGTCTAGTTGTACTTGGGAAATTTTATTAGAGATGTACATCGTATACACAGATATTTAAAATCTTTGATGATATCTCAGTTTTTCAGTGAACTTAAGTCATGGCTACGTAAGAACATCTTACGATCTGTGAACTTATTTCCCTTGTTCTGCTATTCAACGAAGCGTTTTGTTCTAATATCATTCACTTATCACAGTAACACTAAACAATATGGTATTCATATTAAACACCTGTAAAACAGCGTTTATTTTTCAGATATAAAATACAGTAATATTGCAACCAGCTACGAAAAAAAAATGATTTCACACTTTAGTTGCACATTTTAAATAACAAACATTTTTCAAAATTCATCGAAGTTATAGGTGTTAGGAGTAAAAATGTTAAGAACTAATAATTTTGCTTTCTGGCTTAATCAAAATCCGATGACAATATTCTGTTTCACTAAAACGCAACTCATCTACATTAAACTCAAGAAGTTAACTAATAAAAATTCAAGCTCAACATGCAATTGAACCTTGAAACTTCCAATCATTTTATAATTTGTTTTAAAGCCTATTAACTGAAATTGCAATCCTGTACATAAACTGATATCATTTTGATTTTTCTTTTTTCATCTCTAGACATGGCCGTACATTTATCAAATGTTGAACAGAATACACTAAACAATAAAAGTAAAACATATATTATAACGCAGCCCCCAAATTATCCTAACACTGAGCATACAGACACAACGCCAATGACGTTCAGCCCAATGTTCAGTCGAAATCATAAAGTGAATTTTATAACGACAAGTCAGTTAAACAGTGATTCAGAGCAGGTAAGTTGAATTTTATCATTTAAAATTTCCGATAGCATATAATTTATAACTTCAGCAAAATTTTGCGGTTCACTTTACTGATAATGAGATGAGGATAAATGAACGTCCAGTTCCTCCAATAAAAGCAACAAGCACTATCACGCAACAAATAAACATAAAAAACGAAACGAGATCCATCTTCCTCATACATACCCAATTTTCTGAAGATTCCAAAAACTAGACTAACATGTTGCATGAGAATTCATAATAAATACTTTAAAACGTTAACGGACATCAAGGAGGCATCTCTACAAATTAAAAAAAATGCAAGTAACACCGAAAGCATCTGAATAGAGACTGTTTGGAGAACTTAGAATATAGCAAAGTGGTTTCAGACTCCATCAGCTCAACGAAACACATTGTACATACTAGTGATGACTAAAGTGTAAAGCATGTTCTTCATAGGGTTATGCTTCCAGTCTACTGAAAACTCAGAAGAGATTAGTAGTGAATGATAGTATATACGATTAATGTCTGTCGCTGCATACGAATACAACAATATTAGCTATCTAAGAAATATCAACTAGAGATACAATGGAAATATTCAGTCATCATTTTGAAGGTTTGTGGAGATTTCATTGATTTCGGGATGGTTTTTATGGTCAACTGAGATCAGTTGTAAAAGCGTTAGAACGTGAAAGCACAGAGCAGCTGTTTCATCACCACAAACTTCCACAATGAAACTACTGTCAAGCAATTACTGTTGATGTGCTTCGAGATGAGATTTCCCGAAGTTTTAGTGAGAAGTCGTGACTGGTGGAGCGAAATGCGTCGAACGTGGAGACGTGTACTCAATGACTGCACTGCATGAATGTCGTGTGTAAAATGAATTCACACAAGTAGGGTGATGTGGAGCATTGGCTCAGTGTCAAAGTACTGGTCAAGGAATCTGAACTTTCTGGATTCGACGCATGGTGGGTTAATGTATGCATAGTGCTTAGGAGTCCTACACCAGAACAAAACACATGTCAAGCGCTCTCAGATTTTCAATGGTTTTCCAATTGATGTCAGCTCGTGATGAGTACCAACTGGATATTCAATTCGCTTAGGCTTCATTTCAAATAGCTGACTTTAGTCTCTTCTCAACCTTTCTATGTTTCCTAACTATTTTCACAGAAACCAAACGAAGATAACAGAGAACAATCAAATCTCCTCGAAAAGTCACTACGCTAAGCATTGTACCATTTTATCTTAGTTGCTTCACATTTTGCAACGAGATTGGAGGACTCCAATTTTAAACCATACTCCCCCATTCCACTTGGAAACACTTGTGATAAACAACAGCTGCTGAATCACTGCTAGCACAAACCGGGTTGCTTGAGAATTCCCCAGCCACTCATTCAAATTGATCAAACGCACCTTAGACAAAGGGGTCATCAATTCCAAAGCATTCATCATCGACTAGTATCAGCTGACTTCCATTGAAATATGGAAGCTGTCTATATAGTAGATCCACCATCATGGCTGGCTTTATTTGGTCCTGACATGAAAAAGCCTCACTGCACCACTAATATGGAATATCAGCGATTGTGTGTACTACTCATACATAGGTTATTCGTTGCATTCCATAGGTAAAACTGGACTGAAGGCTAGTTGGAACTGGTATTCCATAGGTAGTATTTGGAAGATTCAAGTGCAGCTTGTCTAGACTCAGGTTTCATTCATGGAATACTTGAAGCTGTAGAGTTTACCGATGAAGATAATCCAAAATCTAACCAACGTGAATATGCTTCCATGCATACGGATGTTTATATATGCACCTATAAACCATAAACATTTGTGGGGTTGAACAATCAGAGAAGTATGTTGGTCTTTTTGTTATCCTTTACTTTTGAAACACTTCTCTTCCGTTTCTGGTTTATCTGTAATGGTTTATGGGACAGTGATTATTTTTCACTTCTCAAATGACAAGTTATCCTGCTTTATACCCTGAAGTTAAGAACTGTGGTTTTGCATGATGATATAGAAAACATTTCGCTTGGTGTTTATTTGTTTACGCTTCGTTTGCCTATACGTCATCGTTTTGGTTCAGGAGTGTTGCATTTTCTGTGCTAGATGACTTAATCGCAAAGTCTTAATTGTCTTCGTACACAAAATCATTGCCACGAATTTCATCTCGAAGGGAACTACTAAGATTCTTCCGTGAGTAGTTCAGTAGCTAACTCTGATGGAGTGGGGTGTCATTGGTGGCTCCCTTTGGTTGTTACGTAGTTGGGTGCCTAAAGTTTTCTGTGGACCTTATCTCTGCTTAACCTCTGACATCATAGTTGTTTATCATTTTTCCTGTTAATTGATAGATTAGGACTGTTTCCATACATTTGCTGATTGCTGATCGTCTTAATTGCCAAGCTTCTGGGAATTCTCCGGTATTCTTTATGTTTCCTCAGTTCAATATTTCTACGTCTCAGAAACCAAGTCCATGTCCATAGTTGTTCAAATGCACTGATGTCAGTAATGAAATGTCATGACATCTAGTTGCCAATCCATGTTTATGTAGACGAAACCCACCAGTTTGCCCAATATACTGTTCAACACGACTGTTGTTGCATATAAAATATGTAGCTGCTACCAAAGGATTTAGACTGTCAAATTACTGTTGTTCGAATGGTTATGATATTTCAACTAGTAATTCTTGAAAATACAGTTTAATTTTCAGTTATACTCTTTGATAGAGAGATAGGGATGTTCACTGATTCTTTTCCGCTGCTAAAATACAAATAAAGGCTAAACAAACTGCTGTAACTCACTTAACTTCACTATAAGTTTAGGGTTATTTTAAGGTAAAAGATTTGAAGAACACTTCATGTATCTATACAATGAAATTCACTTCGTTGTAAAAAACCAACCCTAAACTGTGGGAGGCATGTAACTGAGATGTCTTCAGTAACTGTCTTCATAAAACTGATATTGAACTGCTAGTCAAAACACTACAGTACTTTCAATTTGTTCGTTAAACATCTTCAGACTTTAACGATGGTACATTATGTTTAGCTGTGTGTGGATCGAGGGTATAATGCAGCTTTTTGAGCACACTGGTGTTTTTATTGGATGAAATGCTTTAGCTATCTAGTTTTCATAATGTTTTGACTTGTAAGTGTACTTTCTTTGATCCTACAACAGAATAGTCACGATTCAATGGTGGCATATCTGATCGCAAAGATGAATAAATTTCAACCTTATTTAATTGAAAAAAAGATTCAACAAGAATGCAAACACGAATTCTCATTGATCCTTTTTAGCTGAGTGAAAGGCCTACTGTTCAATGATTTATAGGACATATAAGTCGTATTTCTTTTTATTCAAAGATATATTCATATATTCACAATGGATCATAATGAGGATCATACTCAGTGAAATTTTGTTTATAGTAATTGACTTTTAAAAAGAATTTGCGCACTTTTACAGCTCAGTCTAGAAGCCTTCATACCTTTCCGTGTTGTAAATCATTAACACAACCCTGAATGTTTTCAGCCATCTTTTAGAATAATTTGAATAAACATTCTCCCTTAAAATTTTTAACACTTTTTAATGAGTGTAAAATACTTTACAATGCATTGTAATTATAAAAATTATGCTAAATAGCTTGAATGAAAATAAAATCATTTATATCATTAAATCTGAAACAGTACAATAAACAGGATTACATAATACACTAACTTCGGCCTCATTATTGCAGTTTTGGAAGCTAATAGATAAAAATGTGTATTAAACCAAAGGTATTTTGAATACATCATGAACCTACGATCATTTTAAAATATGTATATGGAGGCTGTAAATCCACTGAAAGGTATGAATAACCTGTCAAATAAAATCAGAAATATTCTCAACTTGAATCAATTGTTCCTATTTCCTTGTCTTCCCCATAATGTTTTGTTCTCCTTACTTCGAAAAGACAACTTTTAGGTTTTGTCAGTGTATGCGTTCATTCCACAAGGTTAATTTCAGTCTGCTAAGATAATAATGCAGTATTTCTTTATTTTGAATGAGGTTATAGGTGAATAATTCAACTATCCGCATATATTAAAGCCTATTATATCATTTTCTCAAACTGTAACCGATGATTTATCTTAGTAGCTAGCAGTAGAATGAAGAACGCTTGTTTCCTACTATTTGGGACTAGTCAGCTTGAAGTACCTGCACACCAGGGAGTGATCTTGTTCCTACTGAGGCTTGAACCCAGTACTCACCGCTTCAAATGCCAAGACGTTTTCCATGAGGCCCCTAGAGCATGATAGCCACCTCTCATATAACGGGTAACAGCTGTTGTCATGATACTTGTGACTTCTCATTACTATAGAGGACCGAATTCCCCAACCTCTAAATATTCAAGGAATAATAAACAGATTCCATCCAAAATGGCTGGCTTGTTAAAAATCCATATAAGTAAACTATTTTAATGGAATAGAAAAATTTCATCTTTGGCCGAAAGCATGTAGCTTTGTAAACAGTGGGAGTAAATATAAAAGAATGACTTCACTGTACTATATATTTTTAATAAACGTTTTCAAACGTTATACGTTGTTATGAATGTGATTCCCCTAACAGTTTCTTAGGAAAGAGGTAACTGCTATAACAACCGTCTCTACCAGTCTGGATTCCAAAATTTACCTATATTATACATATCATGAAGCACGATTAGCTATTATTATCTGCAATACCTTGTAAAGTATGTCAAATGTAAAAAATGTCTTTCTTCATGATTGGAAGTAAACGCGTGCAATTCGTATTGTGTCCTCGTTTACAGGTATTCGTATAACCATAATTTTGAAAATCAATAAGCTTCAAAACCTTAATGAATAAATAAGCACACTGAAACTGCTGTTTGAATAGAAATTCCCTCTTTTATTTTTAATTATCCTTTAATCAGTGACATGATTGATTATCCACATATCCACGTAATTCTTCCTCTCGATTAGCCTTGATCTTTACCTAGGTTATTTAGATTGTAAGAAATGTGACAA